ATATTTTTCATACTTCTATGTTATTTCTGTTTTTACTTACATTCACTTATTACTTACTATTCAGTATGATTATATAAAACACACCTATTTTCCTTTCACATCTGACATACCTACTTATTATAACAGCGATACAAAACTAAAAACTAATTCTTTTTCTCTTCTTATTCAACGTTTGTTTACACATAAAAAGCAGTTTAGCGGATGTACTCGTCGCCATAGGCGACATCGTCATCGTCATCACCATCGTCATCATTGTCATTGTACACGTGGAAAGGTTCTGTAAGTTTGTATTTCTCTTATCATATATAAGCGGTTAACAAAATAACGAATGTGGAAAATGGGTACACATACATCCCTCTGCCGTATATGCCTGCACACACTTTTTAGTTTATATAATATTACGTAAGCAGTGCATACTTGTACACTTACATTGCATTCATAGCAGTTTCATCTCTTACTTACTCATCCTGAATAGATATTCATTGTAGTCATCACATTATCATCCTCATAATTATCATAATCTTCAGCATCATCATCATCATCATCATCATCATCAACAACATTATCATCAACATCACAAGGAACGTCATTCACTCTAATCACTACATGCACATTAAGTGTATAACATTATCGAAAAATGATTGCACAACAACAGAGAGATGTTTAGATATTTTGTTTAATTCGAATCCTTTAACAACTGCACACCTATGCACACATATATATCGATATATGTACAATGTGAGCAAATTTCAAAGAGTTTTTAAACTGAATCGTTTTCAGAATAACTTTCATGACCGCCTCAACTATATTTATTTGGTCGGATTTTTCTAGCATTTCTGTTCCGAAGATCATAGTACGTCGCAAATTAAATGACAATGCAAATGTATTGAAGTGTATAAGAATAAATTTAACGAGTCTATGTGACCATATGCGCATCCGTTTGTGCGTATATTGGATTCCTTTTGCTTTTCTAATTCACTTACTATTCCTTGATATATATATATATATATATATATATATATATATATATGTGTACGCATGTAAATAAATAATACATAGTATAGTCGTCGAGCACATTTTTTTTTTTTTTTTTTTTTTGTTTTCTTTTTCTTGTACTGTTGCCTTTATTCGTTTCTCAAGACAACGTTTTCTCAATAAATATGTAAGGGCGGAAAACTTTGTTTCCCTTTAAGTAAATCTTGGATTATCACCACATCAAATGCGCCTTTTCTTCAATCGCTGACATATCAGTGCCAACTTGGATGCGCAATGGTGACAATGATTAGACGATGAGGCAGTGTGGGGGGGAGAGGAAGGAAGAGGTATGGGCGGTACTCATAGTCCAAATCTAATCAAGAATGTATCAGTATTATGTGATTTGATGTGAAGATACGTGTTGTTAAAGGTGTTCAGCGAAACTGTCATATATTAATGCAGTGCTTTAGGTGCTCCGCTCCTTGAATTATTTTCTCAAAATATGAGCACAACGACCTTAACAAAGTTCATGAAGCGATGAAAATTCTGTTATATACATATACGATATGCTTGCTGAAAGCAGTTTAAAAAGTATTAAGCGTTAGTTGTTGGATACATTATTCGAAAGAATGATATGAATACGTAAGTCTTGATGAACTGAATGCTCCATGTTTTGTTGCTTGCCTGATGCATAAGTTTTCTTGCCGACGATGTTATTATGCTTCACCTGTTTTCTCGTCATGAAACACTAAATTAGACTTTGTTAATATATAAAGGAATACTTTACCCGTACATTCTCATAAGAGGAGTGGTACACAACTTAGTCGCATTTGGTCCAACTTTGCTGCAATGAATTGCTATGCTATTAAAAATTCGACTTTTTTGCCACTTAAGTTTTTTCGAGAACTCTTATATGGTACCATCCGCCCAAAGCTTTTCAAATCAATTTAGTGTACATACATATTTTGTTTTCATAGTAAAAGTTTGTAGAGGAATTGGCCGCAAAATGTATCCGATTCAATTCGTTTTCAAAAGGTTTCGTTCTTGGGTCAAAACGCAACAACAACAAACTATCTCAAAAGTCGCTGAAAGTTGAACACAAGAGTATATGAATAAACATTAGATAATCATAAAGACAGTCGGACAGTCGGCAACTTTATATTGATTCAATTAATGATTCCGAACGATAAATACATTCGCTTACAGTTAATGTATACAAATGGCATAGAGTATAAAAATGTATTAAGTATGCTGCTTACACATGCTTATATACATGTGTATACATATGAAATTTTTAGGTCATACATCGCATCACTCTTAATTTGCGCACAGAGGTAAAGCATTAAAACTGCGCACTTACCTTTACCACAGACTAAATTATAATTCAAAATATCAAGGTCACACGAGCGCCTCGTACAGTTTGTAACTAAAATATCCCTCAAATATTTAAGAATATTCCCCTCCAATGGATTATATAGATATCGCTTACAATTTGCATCAGATATTGATATGAAATTCGGTACTAACTGTGACAAGCATGCATTATCCATCTGCAAACACGGCATGATAGTAGATCATAACCTCTAACTTCCAGCTAGGGCAAGATCTTGAACTATAACTTAACACAAAATCAAATAATGGTATGATATATCCGCCTGAGTAGCCGAAGGCGAGGAATCTCGACTAGCAAGTCTCAATGGTCGTGGCTTCGAATCTCAAATGCGGTAGAGTTTTTAATGAAAGGCGATAGCCTTAGATGCTGCTAGTGCTTTTAGAAGTTTACTCCTAGAGTTTATTTCTCTGTATGATAGAAGCCCTTCCCATTGACTTATTGATGCATACACAATTAATGAATTAATTGAAAACTTTTATTATGTTGATGGTGGTTGTAATTGTTTTGCTCTTCTCAGATGTCAAACGCGTAAAGGTAAAAGAAATTTTTCCATTATTATAGGAAAACTATTTAAAAAATCAATAAGGAAACTACTTTAAAGTATCTTGACGAGAATCGAGCATAATTATGCACTTATGTATGTATAGTTAATGGTAAATATTTCATTTCATTTTCCATCCATTTCTTATTATAATTGTGACTATAAAGTCATATGCCAATGCGCACACTTACAAGGTATATAATCATCACCTACAAGAGATGTTATAACATGCAGATATAATCGCTTTGTTTCATAACATCCGTAAGAATCATTTCATAGCAATAGCAAGAGAAATTTACGGGTTTAAGAAGGGCAAGCGAAAGAAGACATCAATACAATATCAATACAACATGTGACAGCAGAAGAGGATACGCAAACATTACGTTTACCTCGAATTGTATAATTTTTGTAATTTGGTAGAAATTTTTGCAGAAATATTTTCAATATGTTGGCCAAAGTTGATCGAGAATTACCAAAAGCCGTTGCATTAAGTCCACAAGTTTAATGAAGTACTCAGCTATTTTGGTATTCAAGTTCCGAGACAAGGCGCGGCAAGAATTAAAAAGTAAGCCCATTAGTCATCCAAAAATTAAAACGTATGTAATGTAATGTGTATTACGTTACCACTTGAAAACAGAAACATTTCGTCCACTTTGGCGGCAAAAAAGTTGTAGGCATTACCAATCGACCCAGCGAAATCATTTAAAACGAGATTAAAGAATAGGGCAGTCAAAGTAAAGTCATGCGTTACGCCGGCCATAATCTCAGCAAAGTAAATATCGAAATCGTTCATTGAAACAAATTGTTTTCAATTTGACATTGTATGTATGATCACGTAAGCTTACAAGCGCTACTCGGAAAATTGAATTTTTCATGTAATTTGTTCATGTAATATGTTCAGCGTATGTGAATGTATCGAAAACTTCTGTTAAATCACGAAAGGCAAAAACACAACTCATCCCATCACGAAAATTATCCGTAAACGAATCGTTCAGGAGGACCAAAGGTTCGAATCAAACTATTCATAATGCAAGACTTTGTCATTGTGAAAATATGTATCAATCATCGGTTCTTTAATGATCTATTCAGTTACTTTCGAAAGGTAGGGGGTAGACAGTTTCATCACATGTTCAAATTTATATATGTTTACCATATCTATTAGCTCAAACTCATAAAGTGAATTGTGTGAATCTTGTTTACGCATTTCCAAGTCTTACTTGTATATGTATGTATGAAGTAGAAGCTCAAAATCAAAGTCTCTTCTCATATAAATCAATATTTAAAAAAAAAATAAATAAATAAATAAGTAAAAAAAAGCTTTATTTGCTTTAAACAAATTCCTATAGAAATCTGTTATGTATCCAAGCAAAGTCATTGCAACTCATAAGTCAATAAACAAAATTTATTTCTAATGCCTATTTAAGCATTTGATTACCTCGACTCTGTTTGTGTGTGCGTCCAGTTGTTAAATTTAAATGATATTAATGGAAAGTTCCTTCTATCCATTTGGAATTCCTTTGCTTTTTGTCAAGTTAAAGTCATCGTACATAATGGGAATTACTTTACGAGACGATCGCATCACTGACACCAATGTTTGCTTAAACGTTCGATTATAAAAAGAGAGAACATACGGTCAAGAAGCAATGAAGGGAAAGAGAAGAAATGATTTATATGAAAATGTTCTTCAGCAAAATTAAAAATTAAAATGAAAGCAAAGAATGATAAAATTTTAAACATTTATTCTTCTAAGTTAGGTGTGGAACGTGCGAATATTTATATACCTCATCTTCATCTCATCTCTCAGTTATAAACAAAACTAATGAATTTTTTTCGAGACTATAGCCAGCAAGAGAAGCAAAAGTGATAATGAAAAATATATATATATATATATATATACATATATATATATATAAAAACAAAATTAACTGTCGTTCATACAACAAACAAAGGCACTGTATGTATGAATTTGTTTTAAGAGAATAAAATAAAAAAAGAAAATAATAACAATAACAATAATAATAATAAAACACAACAAAAGTCAACTATTCATGCTCTAACTAAAAATATATAATTTTTGTGATGAGCAGTTTTTACATGTTGGTCTACAACAGCGGGCGCCGTTTTTTTTTTTCAATTTTTTCTGTTCAGAAAATAAAACGAAAGAAAAGTCGAAGCGTTAACGAAATAAAACTAAATGATTAAATAAAAAAGAAAAATATCGCATTATGGCTAATAAAACTTACCATCGGGCATTTGGTGAACTACCATCTATACTATACACAAGCTTAAGCAATCATCTGACTTCCGAATTTGGCGAATTAAACGATAGCGTTCTTTTATTATTGGACGATCATCATCATTCCCATTATAGCATTTTTGAGTATCACGACACCACCACAATATTGATAATGATAGTGGCATGGCTTCTCTTAATATTAGGCTTAACTTTGTGTTGCTGTTCTCAATGCATTCATAGGACTCTCGGTGGTTTAAATGGGCCTATAAGCAACGAATTGACTGACAACAATAGCAGTAACAGTAACAGTAGTAGCATAACAATCCCGGAATATGATCAGAGTAAGTTGTATAAAAAAAAAATAACTCAAGAGATTATCGAAGGAAAACAAAAAAAAAAAAAAAAAACTAATAAATAAAAAAAAAAATAAAAAAAAAAAAAAAAAAACTAATAAATAAACAAAACTTTAAAGAGAAAAGAAGGAAAGAAAGAAAATGAACGATAGCTTAACGATAATCGTTAAATATGTTTTTCTTTTATAGAAATTCAAATAAATTCTTTAACATATCTTAGGGCCATAAAAAAAATTTTTTTTTTTTTAAATTATTTGCTTCGTTGCTGTTATAGTTAACTGCTGTCTGTCGATCATAGACAACCATATGAAATAAATAGGAGTAACTGCAAGAGGTACATTTGCCTTTGGAAACAAAAAGGAAAACAGAGGTAAAAATACATATTAAAAGATTCTTGAAGGATGACTTAATCCCTTTCTTCTTTCTAAGAATGTTAGTTAATCAGTGTGATTAGTTTTTATATCGTCCGACATTTACTTATAGCTTGTAATTTATTTATCGGCATTTTTTTTTCAAGTATGTTGAGCATGTTTATTCAAGAATAATATCAATTTTTCATACTTGATTGATGAAATTGAACTACATGTATATTTATTGATGTAATATTAATTTTAACTTTACGTTTGCAAGGGTGTTTGAGCAAAAGACAATAGACAGACTTGTTGAAATCATTCTACAAGATTATGCTGATCATGAATGCATTTAATTTTTAGGATTTTTCATGCACATGCTAACGATAGCAGACGAAGCCCCTACAAGCCTATTTTGTGTAACAGAAAGAAAAAAATTTTTTTTTTCTTTTTTTGTCATCGAGTCAAAGTTGAACACTTCTACTTCTTTAATATATTGTAATATAGAGACAAGATCAGGCAATCAGAAGATACATGTGCCATTGTAAAGCTAATTAATTCGGCTAATTAATTGGTGGGAGAGATTCACTTTTTACCCAACAACTACATTCCAACTCTCTCACCGGCCGGGCAGATATTATGCCCTGCGTTAGTCTACACCCGTCACCCTACTCAATTAACAATTTCTAAATTCTCAATTATATTAGTGAAAACGCATCTTTGTCAACCCTATATATAGTATTGTAAAAAAAAAAAAACAAGTATCATATTGCTTCACTTTAACTCTTCTTCTTTTCCTTCCTCCCAGCAAGTGGTTTATAGGAAAAATATTAAATTATCGCAAACTTTGTTAATATTTTCTTCTTTCTTTCTTTCCCATTCTGAATGAATGCCAAAATAAGGTTGAGCGGAGATATATCGCAGTTGTTTCAAAGAGGATTTGAAAACAAAAAAAAACAAAAAAAAAACCAATTAACTTAAGTAGTGGTTAAGAGAAATTACAACACTAGACTTTTCAAAGTATTAGTGTTTTTCTATTAAAAAGATAATTGTGGGCGTAATCATAATATCAAATGATTCAAAAATCTTATAATCCGAAAGTGCTTGTATAGCAACGCGCTAGTACTTCGAACTTTAAACGCGACTTGCGCGAAGGATGATTTCTTCCAAAGCAGGCAAGCACCATAACCCCACACTGTTACATTTTTTAATTCAAAATTCTTATAATATCTTTAAAGTAACATTGTCTTGTGAACTTCTAGAAGAATACTAAGGGACTTTGTAGAACTTAATTTAAACACTATTTGAACGAAATCACTTACCAAATCGAATCAAGAAACAGAAAAACGTGATAAAATTGTTTACTTACGTTCTTTCATATCGTAGGTTTTGTAGCGAGCGAAAAGAATTTTCATATGTATTTCACTTTGAATTGCTTTATGTAAAAAAATATTTTAATAGACAATTGTTTTACGGCTTACATTAAAGTATGATTTGAGAACTAAATTAAAATTAAATTAAAGAGATATTTAGTTACTTAGTGCTTTTAAGATTTATTACTAGTGAGACTTGTTCTTAATATACATAGTTAAGATTTAATAAAGTCGTTCGATATTAAAATCTAACAAAAAATTCCGTTAATCATTTTGAACTTAATTAAGTGAAACATACATTAATCAAGACTGTCGTTCTTTGACCGAGGAATTGCACTTTTTAGGTTCGACCATCCATCATCAATCACACAAAAATTCATATTTCTAAAAAATACCTACATGATGCACTAGATAGAGGCATATAGATTAAACGATTTTTTTTTTTTTTTTTTTTTTTATATTGAAATTTGGAATAGTTGCAATGCTTGCGCCAAAATCCCTTAAATAAAAAACGCTTCGCGGAAATAGCTCTGGTTTTGCTTGGTTTTTTTACTATTTTTCAAAAATAATTTCTCTTCTTTCTAAGACTTAAATATACACTTGCTACCCTATACAATACTATAACTCTCTATTGCCTTTCCTTTCAATCCATAAATGAATTGTTAAGAATAGTTAGGGTGATCTTAATTATTCTAACAGATTATAATATTATATTATGTAATATTTCAATTATCCTGCAAATGACTATTTGGTCATTCGGCTATTTCTCACCAAAAGAAGATTGATCATGACTTTGCTATTATCTAATAAAGTTGCATTGATTAACAAATTGAAGCGTGTCATTTAATTGATTATTTTCCTTCAAATTTTCCATTCTCTTGTCAATCATAGTCAATTTTCATAATCAATTTTCGATCAAGCAGCTTTATTAATGCATCCAATGAATCAGTTTCAGCTTACAATTTATTGTGATAGAATTCTCTTAGCATCTAAGCTAAGATCATGAATAGATCTGACTGGATATGATGGGTGAAAAAATGTCAAATGTCTGGATGCTTTTGATTGCCAATTAACGAAATATCTTATACTATTTGCGAGTATTGAGTATATTAAGTAAGTTGGCTCAAATTTGTGTAAGGACTTGAGATACATTCAGATTTAATTGTTTGGATGTAAAATTTGTCCATGTATTCTTGTGTTCAACCCAAATGCCGCAAATTTTTAAAATATTTTGATAACTAACATATTTTGGCCCAAAGACAATACCCTACTATTTTTTCGATCACTACCAGAATAATGGCTTATATGATAAAAAAAGGGATGTTGCAATTCCCAAAAGTTCTCAGCAAAAACCGCTGAGTAATAGAATTTCGGCGTTCTTAAGCTCAAATTGGCTCAAATTGAATTTTTTAAACTCCCTTTCATATAATCGTTTCAACGAAAACTGTACTTTCCTATGGTAAAAAGAAAACGGAAAGCCTTATCGAATTTCAACCACTCAGGTTTATTTCCTTGAAACCTACCTATTTTACGTGCATACCATATAAGAGTGTACATGATAAATAAAAGTAAGCGGATATATCCAATCTGTGATATTTTATAGTGAAAATCGTTTCCTGAAAGTATTTTGATATAAAACTCACAAAATTTAGATCAAGTATGTCTAGCTATTGGATATTAACGCATACAGGGACTCTTATGGAAAATGAACACTTTTATATAAAAAAAAACCGTAATTCTTATTATATATTAATTATGATGAAGATTTATCCATAATAAGAATTTGACATAAAAATCAACTGAACAAAAATTAAAGCACGTGCGTCTAATTTCTGGAACCCATGCTACATAAGGGTTGCTGTGAGTGGTCAACTCTTTGGCAAGAATATTATTATTTGAAAATTGGTCAATAGTAGCAGACTGGCACAAGAATTAATCCAAGGAAATTTGACTACACTTTCTGGAGGAGCAAATACAAAAAAAATATACAACATTTGCATGCTCTGCACAGTAAATCCTATGAAGTTAACGTCATAGGCTAAAATTTTCCTCTTACTATTGCAATTTCTTTGAAAATCATTAAAATTTTGATAGGAACAAAGTCCATATAACAATAAAAAAAAAAAAGTTATTTGAAAAAATTATTCATTTTCAAAGGCTGAGCTGAGCCATAATGATTCATGCATCTTGAAATTGTGATTAGAGCTCAAATCTACGCTACTCTTGATTCATTAAAAACATTCATTATTCTTATAGTTCCATTATTTAAGTGTGTAATGGTAAAAGGAAATAAAAAAAATAAAAATAAAAAACAAAAAATAAATTTATCACTTTGCATGAAACTCACGCTTTGTAATCAATATTTGGGTTTATAAAATTCGCACATAAAATGGCTCAGACGAACCTAAACATTTTACTTTATGAGAATAGCTTGTTGTGGTTTTTTTTTTTTTTTTGCTTTTTTTCCATAGTCAATATAATAAAGTAAAAGACTTTTAATATTTGTTTACCTCATTTATATGCAAAACGAACGTTTGCGCACCTCTTCTTTATACCGACTACTTCCATAAATTGAAAAAAAAAACACACACACTACACAAAAAACTCACTTGAACTATAATTACTATACTTGGTAAATTCACAAAGTAAAAGCATACTTTTGAGGGAAAAAATTTAATGGGGAAAAGAAGTATATATCAGTAAGTTTTTCAAATTTAAAAAAAAAAAAAAGGACAAAATATAAATAAATATTTTTAAAAAATAAATGCAAGCAAATAAAGATAAAATTTAATATAATTTAATACAACAACAACAACAACAAGGACAACAACAAATGTAATGAAAAACACATTCTCAAAACCCTAAAAAAAAAAAAAAATAAAAAAAAAAACCAAATATTTACTTAAAGGCAAACAACAACTACTACAACCTACTACTATAATTTTATAACCGAATGTGCTGAGCATTATCCTTTATATTTCATTGCAGTTAGCTCATTGTCATTGTTGCCGAACTCATTCTCATAAGTAAACACACTCTATGACACAATCCACAGACACAAGACAATATTTCAAACACGTCATCAACAATATTGTTATTGTCAGTTTTGTGCATGAATGTGCATAAACAGAAGATAGAGCGTAACCATCGCATAATAAATACACTCGAACACATATGCAATCAGTAAGCTGAAAAAAATTCATATAGGCTTTTTTTTGGTTTACCGTAGAGAATATATATTAATTGAATCGAGTGAATATGCGCGAGAAGGAACGAACAAGAGAAAAGTCAAAATTTTATATACAAGTTGAAAACATTTATTATTTCAATTAAAGCGTGTACAGGTTTTTAACATACTATTTGAGTAAAATAATTTCTTTGCTTGCGCATGTGCTTTCGGGACTTTTTCTTTTTTCTTTCCTAAGCTTAACAATAATCTAAGCTAGATTCTGCTCTTAAAGCTCAATTTTCTTTCCACTTTTCTACATGTCTCTTTTTTCCACTAAAGCCCTGAATTAATAATCTAAAGTCGACTCCATGTCTACATAGGAGTTGGTTGGTATAAGAAATGCAATATCAATCTCCAGTAAAAACGTATGAATAGATGCAGAGACAATTATCGGTTTGGTTAGCATTTTTTTCGATTTTCATCTCGATCATCACAAGCATTTGATAAAATTAATATACCCATCTAAGTGATTGATATGAACATATTCATGCATATTGCTCTTACTTACAGACATGTGTACATTCATTTACACCAAGTGTGTGCATAATAATGGTATTGTTTACCATCAAAGAGAAGAGTGTTTATTAGATTAGGTCGCCGGTTTGAAACAAAGCAAATATGTGCACAAGAGAGTCTCGTAAAATGCACATAAGTTTGCTCAGCATTAGATTTTATGTCCGTCTGGCTGTCAACGACCTTAACGATGGAAAAATTTAGATAAGAAAATGCAAGAGAGAACTTTTGATTTTAGCATTACTTTAGTTTTAAAAAGCTTTATGATTTGTTCCTGCAACGAATAAATTACTTTAACATACAATCCATAGCAGATATATTAACTATACACTTGGAGGAAATATTTAAATATTTAAATATTTAACAGGAGTATTAAACCTTTAAAAAAAAAAATAATAATAAGTAGATAAAAGTAGATGCCCGAATGGAAAGAACATTAGCTTCTGACTTGCGTAAGAAACATTAAATTAAGACACAGCGTACAAGTGCCTTCTAGGACGCTTTAAAATGCCAGTGTAAAAACAAAAAAGTTCCCGTCCAGCAAAGGAAACGTTGCCACGCTTAACAAAATAATTTACAATTTTTACGTACTCCTGCGATGTAATGAATCGGATAAGATGCGCCCAATGCGCCAATGAAAAATTCTTCAATTTATTTTTCCTTGCTCTTGTACAAACTGCGTCTTCCACTTTGCGGTCTTTACAAACAAACAAACGTTCAACTACTGATTGTCATATTGTTATTATTCTTACTGTTACTCCTACCTGTGTCCTGCTCACGACAATTATGAGCATCATGACGATGACGCTAAATATGACAATAATTTAATAATGATATTTATTTTTGCTATCAACGCTTTAAAAACTGTTGCTAATAACTCTCCAGCCATTTTACATGTACATATTTGTCGATATCAATCCTTATTTCCGATCTACAATTCTCTTTCGAATGTCATCTTCTCAGGTTTTGTCGGTACAACATATCATTTTATTGCAAAAATTTCTCGCAGGATTTTCTATTTATTTTTTTTGCTATTTTTACACACCGTTCAATATTCCCTTCATTTCGGTATGAAATTTTATTTTGCGTAATACAAATATACAAATATACAAACAAACATACACAAACACACACACATACCTACACATGCATACATATATATATATACATAATGTATATATCCTGCTATTGTAGTTCGTATGAAAGTAAATATTTTTGTTTATTTTAGATACCCAGACAAAGTTAGAGCAGCCAAAAGCCAAATGATAGTACTGTCGTGTTTACATTGTCATAAAATTTGTACTCATCGTAATTGTTAGTGTTTGTCGCCATTAGATAGTGTCAGAATGTAAATTAATGCTCAAACAATTATGATTGATTGAAACGGCATTAAAAAAAGGAAATTAAGCAGATAACAGAATTACAAACAGGAATTTGTTACTTCTGATAGAACAACAACAACCACAACAACAATGTGATACAAGCGAGAAAACTAATCGAAACTGGTATCAGATGAAAGGACATGCTTTGCAAGACCTATTTGCAAAGAGATTTAAACATATCGATATTAATTAACTTGAAAATATCAACTAAACATATTTACTGGGTAAATTTGCTCACAGCTGGAGACTCGCTCGCTTTCAAGTCCTAAATCTTACATAAAAAAAAAACAAAAATTTATTTCTCGAGATTACGAACTCTTATCTCTCAATCCATTCCTAGTTACTAATACACTCAAACATATAGCTTCTAGTTTGCGCCTGATAGATCACTGATAGATCTTGAATTTTCCTTCGCCTTGACATCAATAATGAGAGATTTTACTTACTTTTACTATGCTTAAGCTTTTATGAATTATGTTTTGAATTGTCTTAATTTCGCTAAGACGTAAGCTTTTTATTTCTTTTATAATTGATATTCGCTTTAATTTTATCTTATCCTTAATTCCACCACATAGACATTTTGTCTTAACACATCACGAGCAACACGTCGGCATTTACAGGTTGTGTCTGAGCTTTTGAGTCCATAGAGCTAGGGTAGCGCTGTGATATTCGCAAAGCTAGACTCATTCAATGGATCGTAAATAAATTAGAAATTTAAGATTAACAAACTTCTCTCCTTTACTTCCCACTCCGCTCCTATCGCACTTTCAAAACAAACTTCTGTTTCGGATCACCTGGGAGAAGGAAATTTCTTATTATTCGTTTATTTAAAGGCATTTTTTATTTGTTAAAATTTTCCACAATAAACATGCTTGTAGATAATATATATATTTAGATAATATAGGGGACTGGAATAGCATCGCATTTTTCTCCAGGTGGAAACGGATATTTGCAATTCTGTTATCCGCAATATCTATTTAAACCTAATTTCACCTAACTTATTCCTAACTTGATCTTGAGCACCCCCTGCCCAAACGGAAAACATATGGT